TGAAGGTTAGTTAAATCACAGGACTGTTGTAGGGATACAGGGGGCAGAGCTGGGGTGGTGGAGAATTGTAATGTTGCACGGATCAGTCATAAATAAAACACAGTCATAAATGTAAGATTTGGGGTGAAGACTTAGATAGAGATTTTTAAAAGGTGGATGATTAAAGGGAGAGTTACCATCTGTCAACTCTTTTTGTGAGGAAAGAGAGCAAACAACCAAACATTCTTCAAGGAAGAGAGACCGGGAAAGTGAGAAAAGTGTGTAACCCTGGGAAGCTATTGGAGATGGTGCCAGAGTGGAGACAGCCTTGATCTCAGAAAGGAGAGGACGAACAGTCAGGGTTGAAGAACCACTGAGAAAGAGGCCAGTCAAAGTTGTGGAAGCTGAATTAAATTTCCTAGAACAAGGCAGTAGAATCCAGTAAGATAAACCCAGAGGCAACTGGGATGCCAAGGCTCTCTGAAATGTTCAAATGGCTGCCTAATGTATTTTACAGAAACATGTGAAATGGGAATAAAGGCTAATGTAACTGTTCAAGTGTGGTACAGATGATGAAATCTAAGCACTTAATTTGGAAAAGAGTGTAGTGTTAAAATGACTGCATTGATTGCTGTGAAGAGTATGACATGTTTGAATGGGCTTGACAGAGAAAAAGAACTGTGCTCCGTAATTTAGAAACCTAAAGGTAGTTATTTCTTCTAGGAACACACATTTTATTCAATCAGCTTTCTCTGTTAATTGTTTTTAGACAATGTTTGGAACACCAACATCAGGAACAAAAACGACACACTTGAGCCCCCAAAATAAAATTGGGTTTGTTCTACAAATCTAATTGTGCATATTATTTCTCTCTCTCTCTCTCTCTCTCTCTCTCTCTCTCTCTCTATATATATATATATATATATAAAATCTCATAATTTGATTAAGAGATGAATTACTAAATAAGAAGAAATTTTACAATGAAAAACTAATTTCTATCCTTACTTTGTCCTCAAAATATTTATTATAAGGAAACATTAAGGAGTGTCTAGGTTTCTTTTTACTAATTTTCCACTATTTAGGCCCCACTGGAAAAGGTGCCATGGTATACATTGGGTTCTCTATTTGGAACCTAGAGAGACATCCTGGAAAGACACGGAGGCACAGTGGAAAGAAAAACTTCTCTTTACTGCTTTGGGGCTGTTGGTTCTCAAACAAGCAGGAGGCAGGAGGGAAACTACCCAGTCCCAGTCCAGTGAGTGCCCGTGGTGTTTCATCTGGTCTCCACAGTGAGGGCTCGGACCGTGTTTGCCGTGTCAGGCGCTGCCATCTCTCTGCTTACTCTACAGGCGGCCTGCTGCCTCTCACAGGGGACCACCTCCGGGCAAAACCAAAGTGGCAAAGTTTGTTTTCAGCAATCCTGGCTTTCTTCTTTGGACCCCTTTCTGTGCCAGTGACCTTTCTGCTGCCCCAATGAAAATAATAACATCAATTAAACTACATTTGTTTTGCTGCTTACCTTGGAGGGATTTATATTTCAAAACAAATGTTATTAATATTAAAAGTAGAATTTCAAGTATCAGAGTCAAATTTTTGGACAGTTAATGTTTTTGGATAGCTAATTTTAGATTTTGGATACCAGTAGAGTCAGTGATATTTCTTTTTTTTTAAATATTAATGGCACACTTAAATTTTTATTTATTTTTTAAATTCTCACCCAAGGATATTTTTTCCATTGCTTTTCGGAGAGAGAGAGAAACAGCGATGTGAGAGAGACACATCGATTGGTTGCCTCCAGCACCAGCTCCGACCAGGGCCAGGGATGGAGCCTGCAACCGAGGTATGTGCCCTTGGCTGGAATTGAACCTGGGACCCTTGCGTCTGCGGGCCGAAGCCCTAACCACTGAGTCAAACTGGCTAGGGCGAGTCAGTGATATTTTAAAAACCATAAACATCAATATGCTAGGGGAATTACAATTAAAATATACAAGCTTTCCTCCATTAATTTTCCTCAATTGTTTTTGTTTGTTTTTAGCAAACTGGTCCCCAGTGCTGTGGTCTTTTATTAAGTTCATGGGTTGTGTGTTTCTGAATTTCTTAATACTTTCAGTGCAGTGAGGCTAAGATCAGATCACCTCAGAATCCCATTATCTGTTTTGCTTGGTGTTCGTCTGGAAGAAGCTATGACATCCAAATGATTTTTGTTTGCATCTTCGCCAAAGAGAAATCTGCATGTTTTCACGTCTCCACTTATCAATGACAAACCAAGACGTGACACCCACTCATGTGACAGCCTCTCTCACTTCTAACAGGAAGCACAATGGAAACAATGAATCAATAATAGAATGTTCTTTTTGCTTCTTTTCTTCTTCAGCTTGTTAAAAAACAACAACAAGGCAGAGAAATAGCTGAATACAAATTATAGTATCACTATATCACTGCCTGCTGTGGAAGCAGGCTCCTGTAGTTGTGTGGCTCCCCCCAGTATCCATCATATATACGATGTGCTTCAAAGTTCACAATAAATCTTGGTTTTCAGATAGAGTTATAGTTCCCCAGCTGTTAAAAACCACTGCACACAGTACTAAACCTCAGAAAGGGACGACTCCCTATAGGTACGCAGATTGTCTTTCCCAGTGCCTATAGGGGATAATCAATTAATTTTAGAAGAGGAAGGAATAGGATACTATAATGTTTTCTGTTGCGTGAGCCAGCTATGTCACATCTTTGCGCTTCTTTTTCTGTAGTTGTACACATGGTCTCATAATTTATCTATTCCACCGGGTCTTTGTTAGGATTAAATTAAATAATGTTCATAAAATGCCTGACAAAAATCACTGAATGAATGGCAACAATTACTATTGTTCCATCAATATTTGCGTTTGGAGAGTGACATCACTCTTTAGGCAGGGGGCAGAGTTGGTTGGCAGTGGGTTTGATAGGCAGAGGGTGGATTTCAGCAGCAAATCTGAAAATTATTATTAAATTAAGCTACATGCTAAGCAATCATTAACAACAATAACAGTGGATTGCTACCAAAAAATCTTAAGGAACTTTCAATGAAATCTGTCAAAGAATACCTCCAAAGGAAATATGAGACATGCTCTATGCTGATTGTGTCCAGTTTAATTTAAATGACTGCCTTCTTGTGTAATTGGGGACAAGGCACATACGTAAATTGCAAAACTCATAAAACCAAGGTGTTCTGAAACACACATCACACCTTTGCCAGCTGACTTTATAATGGAAAGGAAAGGTACAGGTGACAAAGTACCTTATGGTTCTTCAGCTAGTTAATGAGTAACCCTTTATGTTAAGTACTCTGGATTACCTGGAGGGATTTTTTTGTCATTCGATAATGATGGGAGAGCATTTTTCTAAATACTGATAGGTTGCTAGATCAATGCAAATATAAAAAGTGCCTTTAGATCAATGAAAAATGTTTTCTGAGCTATGTTTCTCTTCATTTAATTTCTAATGTGGCAGAACAGTAGGTATCNAAAAAGTGCCTTTAGATCAATGAAAAATGTTTTCTGAGCTATGTTTCTCTTCATTTAATTTCTAATGTGGCAGAACAGTCCACCTGGACACCTCCTGACATCTCTTTGAAACCTCAAAAGCCTCTGAAAATCAGTATGTCCGAAAACTCTCTCATTGTCTACCCTTCCCGCACATGCCCAGCCCCAACCCGCACCTCTGCCTGGATTCCTTGTCACATCCTTGTCATAGAGGAAGGCACTATCATCCAAAACCCATTCCCTTTTGTAAGCCAGAAACTTAGGAGTCATTCTTTTCCTTCCAAACCCTCCCATCATCAAGGCCTGTTGATTTTACTCTTGAAATTTCTTCCTCTGCCCGTCTGTTTTCATTCCCCTACCATCAAGCTAATCTAACTCACCATCATCTGTCCCCTGGACTGCTGCAATAGCCTTTTACCTGGTCTAATTCCACATGCCACCCCACCTCCACAGCATGGCTGTCCCTACCCCCCAAATATGCTCACACCATGGCATGAGCCAGATCAATTATCCTGCCACCCCAGCCCCATGCTGAAAACTGTTGGATGGTTTCTGTTGGCCTTAGGATGAAGAGGAAAGAAAGCTCTATCAAGATGTACACAGCCCTGTGCCCACTCCCTGATGTCACTCCGCTCTTTCTGTCTCTGCTGCGGCCACGCCCAACTCGGCGCGCTCACCTCGCTCCTGCACAAAGCATCTCCAGGCCTTCCTGCTGCCTGAACCAATCTTGCCAACCCTTTCCACCTAGTGACATGTTCAGGCTCCAGTTTAGTTGTCATTCCCTTGAGGAAACCTTCTTTGACCTTCGGATTATATCAATTCCCTCTAATGCACTTTTACAGCACCTTGCAACTCTCCTTCACAGTACTTAATGAAGCTGTGATTATATTTTGTCTATGTAGTATTTTTCTTTCCTATTAATATGTAAGTTCCAGGAGAAAAAAAGGACCATATCTACTTTTTAAAAAATTGATCTTAGACAGAGGAAGGGATCTACTTTTGATATCAGTTAGCCCCAGCCCAACTGCAGGGTCTTCAACCTAGCATTACTCAATACTACACATTTATAGAATCAATTATGAATAAACAGCCTCAGGTACATTTCCCACATTACTTTCAGCGAAGACGCTATATTGTTTTTGCTTTAAAAAAACAAACAGCCCGGCCGGGCGTGGCTCAGCGGTTGAGCGTTGACCTAGGATCCAGGCGCTCAGGGTTCGATTCCCGGTCAGGGCACATGCCCGGGTTGTGGGCTGCAGCCGATCAATGACTCTCTCATCATTGATGTTTCTGTCTCTCTCTCTCCCTCTCCTTTCCTCTCTCTGAAATCAATAAAGATATATTTAAAAAAAACCAAAAACCAAAACAAACAAAGCCACCTGGGGAGGCCTCTGCTTGTAACCTGGCCAGTTTGGCCTGTGAATAGAAATATGAAAATGGTTAGCGCGACCAAGCTGCAGGAAGGACGCGGGCCTTCGCAGGCAGCGGGGCTCGGCGGTTTACCTTCAGCTTCAGGGAGTTCAGCTTCTCCTCCCGGAGGTGCTCCCTGAGCATCTCGCGGTGCAGCCGCTCCTGCTCCCTGGCGAACTCGCCCAGGGTGTACTGGCGCACGCTGTTGTGGCGGCTGGACATGCCCAGCGTGCTGCCGCCCTGGCTGGGCACGCTCGTGAAGCCCTGCCTCCTGGTGAAGTAGTACACGGTGACACAGCTGAAATGCACATTCTTCGTCCGCAGCCGCTTCTCCCGCTTGAGGATGGACGAGGCTGAAAGAGGAAGAGGCCACACCGTGAGCGCCCGGGCAGCGGGGCTGGATGGCGCGGAGAGCTGCGCGGGCCACCCGCACCTTTCTCTGGCCGGTCCCTTTGGGCAGGGGGGCACGGAAAGGGTCGTAGCTCAGAGGTCGCACGGATTTCTAGTTCCCTTCTTAACTCTTTCTGTAGCTGTGCTGGAGTAGACTTTTAAGTTCCTATAAATAGCGGATGTCTAAACAGACCTTTAGGAAAGTTGCCAGCAGTCTATGAATCAGCAGCAGAATTNGAGAGCTGCGCGGGCCACCCGCACCTTTCTCTGGCCGGTCCCTTTGGGCAGGGGGGCACGGAAAGGGTCGTAGCTCAGAGGTCGCACGGATTTCTAGTTCCCTTCTTAACTCTTTCTGTAGCTGTGCTGGAGTAGACTTTTAAGTTCCTATAAATAGCGGATGTCTAAACAGACCTTTAGGAAAGTTGCCAGCAGTATAATTTCTCATTTCCCCAAACCTCCGAAGTTTCGGTTTTATGGTTTTCACCTGAGTTGCATCATACTATAATCAGAAAAGACACATACTACAAACCTTCACTTTGGATCTTATTTTGATATTGAGGCCGCTTGGCATTAAAAAAAATGTGTCTGTTTAAAATTTGTAGAAAATTCCAAAAAGCAATAAAAATTCACAAAAAGTTAACTGGTGCTATTTAGATATTTTTACAATCTAAATCTAACAAAGCTTTTATTTGGTATGAATCTCACTAAATAGCATTACGGACAGTGGCATTTTAATCTAAGTGTCTTTTGAGACCACTGAAAATGCCATGAGATGCTTTCTTATTAGTTATGGAGACATCAAGATGCACAGAGCACCATGGAGGGTTGAGGTATGCACTGTGGTTGACAGAAAGAAAGTCACATTATAACCAGGACCTTTTAGAGTTGAAAGACATGCTGGACATCACCTAGGCCAGTCCTTTTATTTTACAGTGAAGTGACCCAGGCTTGCAGAATTTGAGTGATTTCTTTCAGTGAAGATAGATAGTGGCAAAGCTAATCTTTAAATCTAAAAGCTCTCGGTCTGGTGCTCTATTACATGATGCCTCTCCGTTGGGTAAGGAAAGGTACAATGAATTGAAGAGGGAGATATAGAATCATGCTGTTATGGGTTGAATTGTGCCTCCTACTCCCAAAATATATTGAAGTTCTAACCCTCAACACCCCAGAATGTAACCTTATTAGGAAATAGGATCATTACAGAGGTGATCAAATCAGGGTAAGGTCTTCAGGGTGGGTATTAATCCAATATGACTAGTGTTCATATAAAAAAGGGAACATTTGAACACAGACATGCACAGAGGGAAGATGTAAGATCCAGGGAGAAGTCACGTGAAGATGGATAGAGACGGGGAATATGTGCCAAAGTCAAGGAATGTCTGGGCTACCAGAAACTGGAAAGGGCCAGGAAAGGTCCTTCCCCTATAGCTTTCAGGAGGAGCATGGCCCTGACAACACCTTGACTTTGATCTTCTAGTCTCCAGAACCGCGAGACAAGAAATTTCTGTTGTTCTAAGCCACTGAGTTGGTGGCATTTTGTTACAGCAGCCCTAAGACACTAATACACACACTCAAGTAGAAAAGCAGACAGGAAGAAACAATGAACTGAGAAGAAATCCTTAGATAGTAAAAAAATATATAAACTAACATTTATGGAATGCTTCCCAAGTTCTTATGCAAAGAACCTTACATGAATCATCTCATTTTATCTTTACAGATCCTTGGGTTGATATCACCTATGTCTCCATTTTGAGGAAACCAAGTCATCAAAGGTTAAATAACATGGCCAAGGTCGTATAAGCAGTGGTGAAGCTGGGATTCCTTATTCCTGAGCCCAGGATTTTAAACATCATGTCACAGTGAGAGCTGAAGCCACTCAGGGAGTTACACATGGCTGAGAGATGTGAACTGTTACTGTCTTCAAAGATGACTTTGATTTGGAAGGTTGCATAACCAATGGGGGAAAAATACTATAATATCACTTTGGACTTATATAAGAATCTTCTTCCAAGTGGGTTCAAGTTTTTTTGTCTCATTCTCCTACCTCTCCCCATAAAACATTTAAGCCAAATACAGAGAGGCTGCTATGATTAATCTCATTTCATGGATTTATTTATTCAATAATAAGGGCCTATTGTGTGCCAAGCACTTTGTAGATGATTGGTTATATTTGGTGAGTCGACCAGATGGTGATCCTTGCCCATGAAACTTTCATTTCCAGTGATGAGCTCAGACAGAATGAACAGATTCAGAAGACTATAGAGTAAGAGAAATAGGACATTTGGGCGAGAATGTAGCTTTCCCGACTTCCTCTCCTCCTAACTGTTATACTTCTCTAGGGGAGACTGCCAGAAAGCAAATGCTTTCAAACGCGTACATAATTTTCCCATTTATTTATGTGTATGTTCACTACGACATATACTCCTGGAGGCAGAGACCATTTTCAACTTTGATTTAAAAGCTCTGATCTGCTTCATAACTGTATGCTTAAATCACCTCGAAAAAGAGGAGAATTTGTAAAAACGTAAAAGATCACCGTAGAAAGCAAAATTCAACAATCTGCCTGGTAATCTGACAGCCTCCTCTGTCACCCCTTATAGCAGACTAGAGCTTCTAATTTTTGGGTGATAACCTTTAACCTTTTTCACCGTCGATATCATAAAAATGATGCCCTTAAGCCATTATCTTTTAAGGCCATACATGTACAGATAAGAAAAAATAATAATGTACTAATTTAAGATACTATTATAAGCACCTCTGGCAATTGTATTACTTATTTCTTCTAAGACAATTCATGGTACTCTAGACAAATTTCCTTCTTAAAAATTTATTTAGATTTTGTACCTGTATTTTTAGATTATAAGAAGAATGCTTCAACTTTCTGCATGAATGTATTATACCACCATTTCCTAAAAAACAGATTACCCTTTCCCAAAAAGTCAATTTAGAGAAGTTTTTCTAATAGAGAGCAGGGGCCCTTCACCTGGGCTCTTGGCACTGCTAACATCGTCAAATTGTGCCAGGATTAGTGCTGTTTCCTGTTCCACAGGCATTTACCAGTCAAATCTGCACTTATGCTTGTTTCATCGTTTGCATATTAAAAATAACACTGAAAAAAGAATGATTGAAAAGTCTACAAAATATATTTAAAAGGAAGGCTTTGAAATACTATAAGATGAGCTTTATGAGGGATGTTTTAAGTGTGGGTTTTCTGAACTTAGAAACCACCCACGTCTCTCTTAGGATTGTGAATTGGAGCACTAGCATGGTCTTTTATGGGCTATCTCCTGCCTCCAGGCCTCAATTTGACTAGCATCACAAAACGAAGTCGTAAAAAGAGAGTCTCTGTTCTTCAAGCCTGGGAAAAACAGACAAATTCACTCAACACATCAGCCTTAGGGAATCTGAAACCTCCCTGATATGCCTACCTAGTAATTTGTACCCTTTGCAGAATGATTGAACTCAGCTTTGTGTCTACAGAGTTTAATGTTCCGTTTACTACTGTGAGGTCAAGAGCAAGAAAAAGGCAGGAGAAGTTATCTTTTATTGCTGCTTTAAAAATAATTCGTCTGTTTTCATGTACAATACTAATTTTTTGGTGTCTTTCGACTCCTTTTCTTTTATCCCATTCAGTTACCCTCTGAAGCAGAAGTGTCCAAATGCAACAATACTGTACATACTGCCTAGGACCAGCTCTTGGGAACCTCATTATGGCTACCACATCAGGGCATACTGGTGTTACTGTAAACTGATCACATACTATGTAGATAATGTTGGTCTTTATACATTAAAGAAATAAACAGCACAGAGTGACTGATATTAGCTATCAACAGAAGTTATTCTTCCTAAAAAGTGCTTTAGAAATGAATGGAAAAGAAAATTAGGAAATTGATTGATTCACAATGCCAAGGTAAGAACTTAATTAGATAAAATAAAATCCGTATCATAAATATACAACAAGTTCATGGGCAGAGTGGATTAAAAATGGAAGTCAAAACTAAAATTGGGACAGTGTGTTTCCAGGGCCATCTCGGTGAGCCAATATTCTGCTCCCACAGAAAAGATGAATATATCAGGGTATCAGAGTTGAATCACATCAGTCTCTAAGAAAATTCAACTGACTTTGCTCCATTTCCACACTCACAAACCAGCCTGTTCATATAAATTCGAAGACACCTTCAGGTCAATAAGATGAATGAGTTGACCCATCAATTTTATTTCTTACTGAAAACAATTTCTTTTGAATTTATACTCTAGCCATTAGGAATGTGGTTAGGGTGTATCATGCCATCTGAAATGGCCTTCTCCGCATGCACCCAGACCATCATGGATCTGGGCCTGGAAAGTGGAAGACCAGGTTCCAGACCATTGATTCCACCATAGTGCAGCCACCCTGGAGCTCATGCTGGCACAGCAAGCTAGTCACCTTCTCAACCCAGACTTGTCCCTTTTTGTGCCAACAACTACCAGCAAAGCCCTGGTATAGCTGGAAAGGCAGAAAGCAGTAAACAAGCTAAGTATTTTGTCACTAAATCTGGGAAAAGCAAGTTGAGAGTTCATGGTCCAGTCTGATGTTAAACAAGGGGTAAATCATGGAAAATATTAATTCTACTATTTGGGTCCAAAGGCAATAGTACACTTTTCTCTCCTATGCTCTGCGGTCAAAAGAACAATATCAGATGATTTGTAAATTTATATTCTGAGCTTATTCCTCATTTATCTGGGGGAAATTTAGTAGAAGCAAAGCGAGATTGCTGAAATTAACTTGTTATCTTGGTAAATCCTGGGCAATCAAAACGCATGTTTTTAAAACATACAGACCAAATTAATAGGGGCTCTGGCAGTGTGCATGTTGCTTCTTACCTTTGAAGAACAAATCAAGAGGAGATCAGACATAGGAAACCAGGAAGCCTCGCTTAACCCAAAACTCTGGAAATAGTTCATATAGAAACTAGCCTAACAG